CCTCGAGTCCGCGGGCGGTGGCGTCGCCGCCGTCGTCAACATCACCGACCGTCTCTACGACGCCATCGATATCGCCGCCCGGCTCGACGTCCAGCGCTTCGAGTACCGCGAGATGCTCGATTCCTACCTTGCACGCGCAACCGGCCCCGGCGTGCCTCGCAGCTTTCACGAGCTCTACTACCCCAACCCCAACAACAATAGCAGCACGAGGGGCAAAGACTTCCTCGTCCTCCCGGCGCAGTACGAATACATATCCAGCGCCTCGTCCCTTTCCACCTCGGACGCGGCCTACACCGCCCGGAAGCGCGGCATCGCCGACCTCACAAACTCGCTACACGCCACTTTTGCATCCCACAACCTCGACGCCATAATCTACCCGGAGCAAAAGAACCTCGTCGCCAGAATCGGCTCCCCCAGCCAGGCGGGCCGAAACGGCATCCTGGCCGCCCTGACCGGCTTCCCCGTCGTCGCCGCCCCGGCCGGATTCGGATTCTCAGCAGCGGCCTCTACCGACGACGATGGGGACGACGGCGACGCGCCGGCAGGCGTGCCCATAGGGATCGAGATCCTCGGCCTCCCCTGGTCAGAGGGAAAGCTGCTGGGCATCGCGCGCGCACTCGCGGACCTGCTGGCGGAGGGGCCCGTCATCGTCGGTGGCTCTACCCGCATCATGCCGCCCTTTGCAAACGCCAGCGTAGAGACGAGGGCGTACGCTGCCGTGCCCGAGATTGTGCCAAATCGGGGAAACATACCGGCCGCCTACCCGCTTGGCACGTTAGCCTAGGTGTAGATAGCTTTAAATATGGATAAAGAGTAAAATCTGTCTTTCTCGTCCTTTTTCCTTTTTCTGGGTTATGCGGTTACTACGCGTAGGCGGTGCTTTTGGCATTACCCTGGGGCGTATCGGATGGGCAGGGGAATTTGATGTTTACATTTACCGCGCAAAAATATGGTGCAACGTGATTGTCTACATCCAAACTCGACTTCGGTGACATCTGCCCAAGCATTGGCAGCCAAAACATCAGCGAGGATGCATAAAGAATGCATATTCTAGTTCATTTACTCATGTGCTTGCAAGGTTGGATGGACTCCTTTTCTGATTCCTATTTAAATTATGGTCTACCTAGAGGGCAAAATGGTAAGAGATGGTCTCCTGGCGGTCATACAAGAAGCAGCTATGTCTCTAGATGTAGGTCCCAAGACCAATAACCGCAAATGTCCGCCAAGTAGACCGACCCCCTCTAGAAGACCCTGTTTCTTGATTTTCCCTTGATTTTTCCTTGTCCTGTCGTGGCCTTTTGATCATGGCCTATGGCCCCAAAAAATTCCTCCAGTCATTCCCCTTACATTTCCAGGCTCAACTCAACTGGTGTGCTCGGGGCGCGGTAGCCCGGCTGTGGGTTCTCAACGAGAGAGTCTAGTTCGGGCATCACTTCCGAAACAGACTCTCTGTCAACCACTTACCAGCCAGTGCCACCGCTTCCCCAAGAACCCTCCTGCTGAGTCTCCTCATTGGCGGGAGCCTTCTCATCCGCGGGGGCCTCCCAGGCCTTAGGAGCGTCGTCAGACTTCTCCTCGGCAGGAGCGGCACCCCAGCCACCACCCGAGTCGTTCTTGTCGTCGTCAGCGGCGCCCCAGCCGCCACCCGCGTCACCGCCATTGTTGGCATCAGCGGCGCCCCAGCCGCCACCCGCGTCACCGCCATTGTTGGCATTCTCCTCCTCGAAGTCCGAATCGGCCTCAAACTTGAGATTCTCACGAGCCTCACCCTCGGGGATGTGGTGGGCAAGAAACTCGGGGATTTCCTGATTGGTCTCCAGCATGGTGCGCACAAGGACGCTCGCAAGAGGCTCGTCGCGATCGGTGAAGAACGAGGTGGCAAGGCCCTTGTGACCGATGCGGCCAGTGCGACCGATGCGGTGAGTGTACTCCTCGATTCCGCCATAGTCGAGGCTGGGCAGATCGTAGTTGATGACATGCGAGATGTTGCGAACGTCAATGCCACGAGCCGAGACGCCGGTGGCGATCATGATGGGCGTAATTCCCTTGCGGAAGGCACGGAGAGCGTCCTCACGCTCACGCTGGGTCCGGTCAGCATGCATCGACGTGCAAGGAAGAAGGTGCTGATTGTAAAGATAGTCATCCAGCTCATCCGCCGTGTGCTTCGAGTTCACGAAGATGAGGGTGCGCTGAGGCGGCATCGAGGCCAGAAGGTCGGTGAGCGCCTGGCGCTTGTTGAAGGGCGCCGTCTCGACAACGGTCTGGACGATGTTGCCATGGGTGCTGCCAGCACGACCGACACGGAAGCGGACATGAGACTCAGAAAGGTGAGACTTGGCGAGATCGCGAATCTTCTTCGGGAAAGTGGCCGAGAAAAGAAGGTAGTTGATGTTGCCCGCCTCCTGCCCTGATAGTTCGCGTCGAGTGTTAGAATAGTCTCTGGTAAAGGAGGACGGTTTCTGATGACACAGAAGAGGGCAAACTTACCTCCACCAGAGAGGATCTTCTCGAGGTCCTCAACCCAGTCATCATGTAACATCTCATCCGCCTCGTCAATGACCATGTACTTGACGCGACGCATGGTCAAGAGATCGGGGCGCTCCATGAAGTGGATCAGGCGGCCGGGAGTGGCGCAGAGGATGTCGCAGCCCTTGCCGATCTGACGACGCTGGTGGGTGAAGGGGCCACCTCCGTAGACAACGCCAGGGCGAAGCATGCTGCGGTAGCAGAGCTTGCGAGCCTCGTTGAAGATTTGGATAGCGAGCTCGCGAGTCGGGCAGATGATCACAACCAGCGGCTCGGCAAGAATGGGGCCATGAACGTCGAAGTTGTAAGTGGCCGGGTTAGGACGAGGGGCCGCGAGCTTCTTGGCCTTTCCCATGAGCTTGTTGAGGATGGGAATCAGGAAAGCGGCAGTCTTTCCGGAGCCAGTCTGCGCGATACCGATCACGTCATGGCCCTCGCGAATGGCGGGAAGGCAGTACGACTGGATCGGAGTTGGTACCTTGTAGCCGCATAGCTCAATGTTCCTTAGCATGGCAGGATGTAGGCCAGCATCCTGAAACTTGAGCGCAGGAGTGACGCGGACCGGGCCCTCCTGGATGAGGTTGATCTGGGCAATGCTGGAGAAGTCGATACCGGCAGAGGCATGGTCCTTGCTCTGTGGGCCGAAGAGCTCCTCCTCAAGCTCGGGGACAATAGGGCCCAGGTCACCCTCGTCGCCATCCCACTCATAGATGCGAGCGTCTCCCTCCCACTCCTCACGGCGCGAGTCGGAGCCGTACGCATCGTAGTCGTAGGCCGTACGGGTGACCCAGCCGCCCTGAGACTCCAGGTTCTGAGTCTCGGCAGTCTGAGTTTCGGCAGGGCCCTTATCAGCGCTGGGAAGGTTGGCGGCCATCTCGCCGGTCGCGAAGGCGTCGTTAGCCTGGCCCCCCTGCTGGGTGTCAGGCTCGTTGGAGGTCTCCCAACCAGACATTTTGGCTGTTGTCAGACTATTGCCACGGTCAAATTAGTTTTCATTTCAAGTTCTAACTGCAATGGATGCCCAAAGTGAATAGATGATCTCGCGTGTAGGACTTACTTGCTTGCTTGAGAGATCCTGCTGCTGCGTGGACAAAACAA